GAGTGCTAGGATTACAGGCGTGAGCCACCGTGCCCGGCCCAGAGTTTTTAAATTTGATATATGGATACTGTATTGAGACCCTCAGAACATTTGCATTGTAGCAAAGTCACTTGTGGGAGCCCCCACTGAAAGTCAGATTTTAGGGTGTAGTATGTAGAATAAGTCGTTACTGAACTGTACAGTTGTGTGTTAATCACTCAGAAATTCCAATACTTTCTTTTTCTCAGTTTGCAATTCAGGTTGATTATAATGAGTCTCTGCTTTTGTTGGAAATACCTGTCCTCCCAAGAAGAAATTTATTTGCAGATACCATTTAGTTTGAATTTTAATATGTGTATTTAAAAAAGTTACTTCCATTTTCTCCCTGCTTTAACATGAAAAGTAGTTAAACGTGTTCAATTCTGAAATATGACACAGAAATGGATGTTGTGAAACCAGGCCTTTAAAGGTGACGACAAGCAATTTGAAAAAGTAGTTCGTTAGACCAGTCTTAGACCCTATTTATAGAAGAGTCTCCAGAATAAAAAGACGGTTAAAGTCCTGTTAGATCAGATAGCATTAGAAAAGTTTTATTCACTTGGAAAATGGAGAATTCAGAGGCTAAGTGTGGAAGGACATAGCTGCAGAGGAAAGACCAAGGCTGCAAATTCTCAGGCAGTCTCGTCTTAGTAGAAGGAAGAGCTTTTCTGACATCTGAAAAAGAAATGGATTGCCTGTGAGATGGTGAGTTCTCTCTCCACCTCCACCTTGTTCTCCTGCAGTGGGAACTTTCAGGTAGATGAGAACGGGTCATGCATTTGGGTGAGCTCTGAGACTGATTTCTGAGTCCCTTCTCTTGAGAGTCTGGGAACATGGCTGACATCCTTTAGTTTCACTTTGTAATAAATTTTAAAGATTGATTTTTAATTTCAGTTAGGTAAAGACTGAATTGCTAATATGTGAATGATAAAACCTATACTGTGTAGAGGAGCTTAGAAAAAGCTGTGTAAACTTTGTAGACAACTTTTATACCTGGAGTGGGTGCACGAAGAACAATTTTGAGAAAAATCTATGTGGTACATAGATACATACATACTTTGGTTACTTAGTTTAGGAACAGTTTAATTATCACATCTCACTTTGTTTGCCCGGAAGATGATCACAGTTGGCATGTTTAGATTTATGAAAGCCTTGGGATAATAATTTTCCTGAGACCTTTTCTTCACCATTCAGGAATTTTTACATGAAGAATTGAAGGTTAAATGGCTTAAATAATAACTAGCTTAATAGCTAAATGAATGGATGCACAATAAAATAGCATTAATATTCTGTTGTATGTGTTTTTCTAAGAGGAATAAGTAAGTAGGTAACTACTTGGGAAATCTTAAGTTCTTTCTCATTAAAACAAACTTTGTAAGTTTGTTTTTCATAAGTTATTTTTATGTT